GAACCGTGAATTTTGTGTATCGTTGCACCCCTAATATACATGTATATATTTATACAGAATTTCTCTTTTTCGGTATAAAGTTGACTTGGGTTTACTGATCTTACAAAAATGATGACTTGAATCTCAACTGGAGGATTGAAACTATAAGATCCTCTGCTGCTCTAATGCGAGCATTGTTCCTGTCTACTTATGTTTCCACGGCTTGCTCCTTGGAGAGTGTGGTGCTGAGTTCTACAGTGGGTATGATTTATTGTTAGGGGGTTATGTAATAGAGGGTTCACATGTAGGGTTTGTGTACCGTCTTTACTAAAAACAATTTACTTTAAAGCGGTATGTGAAGGTTTGAACGTATTTGTCAAGGCAAGAACGTGAGGTGTGTGTTTGCATTACCTGCTGACCGAGACTTGAACAGGTAATATTATATTTATTTAAAAAGTTGGTAAATATTGATGCATATTTAGTGAGGCTTTGCTTAGTAACCAGATGACTGAGTATCTGTCTGCGTTTTGGGGGGATTTTTAAGCTACTTTCATGAAAATGCAGGTAGTATTTTCTTACGTTTTGGGGAGCTGGGTGTCATTTATGTTTTTCAAACACTGTTTCTGTTTAGTTTTTGTTTTCTTTTTTCACACCAGACGTGTTGTCTAAAATCATCTGTAAAAGCCCAGTTGAGTCGAAAATCAAACACATTGTTAGTTCCTGCAGACTGGGCGTGACTCTGATCAGCTGTTCTCTGTACTGAGTCCTTCTGCAAGCCGCTTTGCAGCCCACGTCAACCACAGTTCCTCAATTTCATGCTCTTTGTGACTTGGCCATTGTCATACCTTTTTTTTTTCTTTTCTTTTCTTATTCCCTCTGAGGGTATCCTGGTGCTGATCTCCCTGCTTTTTGGCTTTCCATGAATGTACATGAGAGGTTCCCAGAACAGAGCGACACCAAAGCTTTGAACTTTTAAAAAAGAAAAGGGGAAAGAATTTTTATTTCCTGACCTTTTTGTATTTATTTCTAGCACAAACAAATACAGGCTCTGTAAACCTGCAGCAGTTTATCCAGGATCACTAACCTCATCCTTGCCAAAAAAATAGGCCGCAGATCCTCCCATTTTAATGAAAATCTGGTGGGAAATTTACATTCGCAGTAATGGCCACCCTCACCCTGAGCTCACCACACCTGTAGGGTTCACTGATGGAACAAGGCCTGAGTCACATTTATTCGATCATATGTATAAAGTGGGGCGAGGTAGAGCTCATTAAACATTGCATTGCTCAGTGTTTCACGTAGGCCATGGCTGCTGCTGATACAGAGGGTGTGTCTGTTTATTGCTTTCACCATTACGAATCTATGTCACTGCTTGTTTTGGTGTGTGTGTGTGTGTGTGTGTGTGTGTGTGTGTGTGTGTGTGTGTGTGTGTGTGCGTGTGCGTGCATTTATAATTAAAAAAAAAAGAAATGGAGGCGTGGTAGCAGCTTTAAGCCGGTAGTTTCTGCTTCTAATTAGCGTCACGAGGATAAGTATTCTCATATCTGAACCACATTGGTCATAACCACACAAGTGACGCTATGAACACCAGCCAACACCAACTTCTTTATGAAACTGGCTTAAAGGATTTGCCTTGTTTATAATATTTCTGCTGTTTTAATTAAAAAAGCAACAACAACAAAACTGTGGAAGGTTGTTACCGGCTGTAAATTCACAGATACCATGATTTATTGTAATATAAAACAAGGCGCGAGCGAGAGTCACGAAGATGAGAACGTGAAAATCAAGTTAAAGAAACATTGAGCTCTGCTAGTTCAGGGTGAGCTACAACTTCAACACTATTCTCTCAGGATGAGTATGGTGTGATAATGGGGGGAGGGGGTGTAGCTTTGCTTCTGTGGGTGTTGAATTGCCAAGGCGATGTTAGTAACAAACAATAGGAGGCCTTATGTGTGAATCCAACCAGCTGATGAATATTTCACCTGACTGACGTGGGCTGTCGATCAGAACAGGGCGTTAATCCGACAATTCCCAGAGCTGACTTCATACAAACAGAATGAAACTTGACATGCATTCTAATTTTTTTATGAAGGCCGCAAGGACAATCTGCCCAAAGTCTACTGCAAACTATCACGCAAGCCTATCAGTCATTAATTGGCTCCAACTCATATTAGGTAGAAGAGATATCAATATCAGATGGTTATGTGCTGTGTCACATAAATTTGGCTCTGGCAAAATATTCAAGAATGGTGTGATGAAGACCAGGACACATGTTTATTCTTTACAATGAAGATTTCTTTAAAAGTAAATTATGCACTACAAAAAACATCTGTTGTGCTTTTATAAATCTTCAGCACTGTGTCTGTATTAGCTACAGCTCATCTTTGGATGTCAGTAATCAGAGGACAAATCTGATCAGCAAAACACTCAGATGGCTTTGGACTACTTGCATATTCATATCACCTGCTTTCATCATTATCCACATGGCTTCTCTCCAGTTGCAACAGCTGTGCCTTCAGTGCCTTTTTAAATAAGAATTATGTAAACATATGTCATTTATATCTGCATTTCCTTCTGTGCAGCAGAACACAAACTAAACATCACACCAAAGTAATGACTGACTGTCAGTGTTCCAATATGTGATAGCATGATCCTTTGTTGGAAGTGTCCAACGATACAAAACGATTTGAAGGTTGAAAGCATTATGATATATGTCACACGTAACTGGAACCATTAAAACCCGGTTTATGGGGCTGAGGTGTAGCGTATAACAGCGCAAAAGGGAAGATGGGCCATAATTGGCAAAAAGACTGTGACTCCTGTTCTATTTATATATCTTTACAGAGCCATAGCTTATGTCATAGGTACTATATTGTGCAGCTGTCTACCTGTTTTGCATAAGCCACGCACTATAAATATGTGTATCTGTCTTTCTCCATCTGTGGTTGGCTTAGGCCATTTTAATAATAAATAATACTTGCTAATGGCATCCTTTTTTTTTCTTCTTCTACTTCTTCTTCTTTTTCCCCAGACTCTGAGAGCGAGAAATAAACAGACCGAAGGAGAAAGGGCACAGCAGACGACAGAAGCGAAAGACGAGGATGAGCGCGACCCATGCAGCCTCTGCAGCTCTGTGGACCTCGATAAGGTGTGTGCGTGTTTTGAGACGGGGCTAATATGCGATCAAATGAAGAGTGCGTCTTTTCTGCATCTTTTTTGAGTCAATGTGTGCGTTTGCTGAAATTATGCAGCAATCGATCAGACACTGGAAACAAAAGGTGGAGGATGACCTAACAAGTGTATTTGCTTACCTGTGACGGGGTAGGTGAACAGCCATCTGGTTATTCACCCTGCTTCATCTGTTTGCAGATTGCATGATTTCCCACACTGCCAGACACAAGCATGTACAAAACAGAAGACAAAGCAGCATTGCTGAGCTCCTAAATCTAAGCCAGTTCTGAAAGTCTTGACTCCAAATGGTGCAGGTGTTTTTTATGATATGTTCATACTAGAAGAGTTTGTCCTTGTGTGCTGAAATCTACCTTCAAGCACACACAGTCAGACATTCGTTTAAACTATGCTCATGTGATGGTGCAGTTTGACACATGTTTTTCCACTTTAACAGGCTCAGCGCCACAATGACAGATTCAACCAGTCTGTCTCGCTCTCTCTGCTGCCGGGCAACACTTTATTGAACGAGACCCATGACTCTTGACTTCACACACTTAAGTTTTGCAAGGCCCGGTTTCAAACATCAGTGTTTTTGTGACACACTGATCTGTCAGTTTAAGCCCTTCATTCTGAGGGTTTGCTTCTTCCAGTAACTTGAATCCTGAAGCTCGGACACTCCCTTCACAGATCTCAAACATGGGTAACTCTACCCATGTGCAACACTCATGCACTTTCTGCGCTATGCAAAATGTTGTTATTATCACCAGCACACTTGTCATGTGCTAGCCTTCCTCATTTAAAAAAAGAAAAAGGCCCGCTTTTTGTTTTCAAACTGGTTAAGCTGGATCGTAGCCGCTTTAATGTCCTGGTTTCCCGATACTCACCTTTACTCAACCTAAATCAGTCCGTCCACATTTGCAAGCTGCGTAACACCAGGAATCTGAAGCATGTCTTCACACTTGGCTTGGCTTTGTTCACCAGTTATTAAACACAGAAACCGGTTTCTGTATCTTTTCTTATGCAAGCAAAGCACCACTGTAAATTTTCAGACTTCTTGATATTTAGAGTAAATGTTGAGCTTGGGGCTTTATATAACCAGCAAATGCTAGCTGGATTGTATTTTTGTTTTGTTTTTGAAGTTATCCCAGTATATCCATCAGTAGGTTACACTCAGTGACTGTATAAGTATAAAATGCAATGTTTTCTACTGTCATTGGTTCCACTTCAATATGACAACAGTGGAATTTAATGTGATCTTCCAGCTTTTTTGTTTTCTTTTTGTGTGAAATCACTTGTTTGTGGGAAGCTCCTTGCAGTAGCGTGCTCACTCAGCATGTGACAAACACAATTTCACTTCTTTCTTTTTCTTTTTCTTGTTATATACAAGACTGTGTTGTAAAAATGAAACTTTCTCTTTGTATCTCTAAGAGTCTGTCTGCAATCACATTTTCTATTTTAAAGGTTTTTGACTTTAACATTTCTTTACTTTATTGTGCACATTTATTATTTATTTTTCATCGATATGGCTTTGGTTAAAGCAACAACCAAACTTTGTTATAGCAAAGAGAAGCTTCTATTTTCTACTGGCATTGTTTCATTATTCATGTGTGAGAGATGACTGTAAAATGTGTTTTGTATGTTAATTACTGCAGTGAGAAGTAGCAGAAAAGGCAGATTTTCATTCGCTTGGCAGGTGTTCATAAGTCGATCTGCATATGGGCAGATTATGTAAACATGTAACGTCAACATGTTGACGGATACTTGTGCCTGGTGTGTTCACAGCTCTGATGCAATTCTACCAACTAATTCCCCCAAAAATAAATAAAACAACACGCTGATTTTAATAAATCCAAACCCGAAGGTGCGCATGTGTATATAGTATACCAGAGATGCATACAATTCAATGGATGTGAGCTTTCTCAATGAGTTAAACTGCCTCGGGTGATGCCAGTGTTAGTTAGGACTTAAGCATACAAATCAAAAAATAAAATAAAGATAGATATGCAGAGAAGTGTGGGGATGACTGCAAGTGAGCTCACCAGAACCTCACCCTTAGACGTTTGCTTTTCGAGTAATTACAGTTGATGCCAAGAAACTGAGCGCATGTGAGACAGAAGATGCAGCATCTCTGGTTTTGCTTTGTTTTTTGGCTCCCCCCTTATTTAAAGTTGAACTTTGTAGTCGTATCAGCAGCTAACAATGCTAAATCTGTGGATAGCTTAAAGTATTTTTATTTTTTTTGCAGTTCACAGCTGTATTTATGCCTTGAATGAGCAGGGGTAATAAAGGACAGAGATGGTAGTGTTCCAGCGCAGTGCTTCTTCAGGGTCGCTAGCTCCATTAAAACAATGTGATATGTGTCCGGTAGCTAAACAGTCTGCTGCAGTAAACAGCCAACAGATGATTAATTGTCAACGTGAATAAATGTTTTACATGCTACAACAGCCGCACACGGAACAGTAAAGGTCCGGTGATTGTGTCAGCCGGTGCCTGATGTCACGATAGGGGTGTCTCTCACACACACAGTCATCATCACATGGTCACTAAGCATCATTTTGTGACTAATCACAGGAAAGTGTCAGGGTTAAGAGGGAAATTACGATTAAAGAGTGGACTTGCTGCTTCTCTTTCACTTTTAACTCACTCGAGTGGGGCCATAAGGTTAAGTTCTGACTCACCCTGTTTCCTTACCAGAATGATTCCACCTGATATTTCCAAATGTTATCGTGTGAAACCTGACAGTCTTCGCGTCACACACCATGGCAGCCCATTTCCTGTGTGACTGTAAACACAGGGAACTTGTGAAAAGCTTGTAAAAGCTTTCACTTAGACTTAGGTAAACCTGCAAATGCACACGCACACAACAAGCAAATTTCACATGCAACACTTCCTGGTCTGACCAGTCCTTGGAGCAGTATGGTTTTTAGCTCTATGCTGCCACCTGCTGGAGACGTTTTGTTTTACTCTTTGGATTATCTCCCCCTCCTCGTGTATAGAGAACGGGTTTTACTAATTTCGTTTTGTTGTACTTCTGCAGGATTTGGTGGACTGGCGGAAGCCCCTGGCATGGCAGGTGGGCCACCTCAGAGAGAAATATGATGCGTGGGTACACCAACCAGTTGACAGACCTATCAGACTGTTTGGAAACCCCATCATGGAGGCCATCACTAAAACTTCCTGGTAAGAAAGGAAGCTTGAAGAAAAATTAACCATTTATCAGATAAGAACATACATTCAGTTTTGCAGGCTTGGCAATCACTCGTGCAACATTTTCACAGAATTTTACTGTTATTTATTAAGTTTATATTTATATATCAACCAGCTGGAGGTGAGGGACCCGAGACAGGACAAAAGAGACACTGCTGAAGAGAGCTAGAGATGAATAATTCCTAATGACTAATACACTAGCAGTTTATAAACATACAGGGAGTGAAAAGAGAAGCTTGGACCCATTGCAGCATAACTAAGAGAGAATTCAGGTTCACCTGATCCAACCCTAATTATGCTTTATCAAAATGGAAAGACTGATTTTAAAGTAGAGAGGGTGTCTGTCTCCTAAATTCAAACTGGGAGCTGGTTTCATGGAAGACAGGCCTGAAAGCTCTGGGCTCTGCCTCCCATTCTACTTCTAAATACTGTAGGAACCAGACATAAGCCCGCAGTCCGAATGGGAAGTGCTCTAGTATATTAATAAGGTACAATGGTCCAGCCTAGAAGTAATAAATCACGACAAGTTTTTCAGTATTACTCTGAGACAGGATGTTTCTGTGTTTGCAGGTATTGCACAAATACAAGAAAAGTGTCCTGCATACTTGTTTGTTGTGGTCTTTGAAGGACACATCCTGGTTTAAATAAAATAAACAACTCCAAGTTTCCTCAGTATTACTGGAGGCCAAGCAATTACTGAGGGAAAGTAAATGGAAACATTTATGCAATGGTTTCCGCAAATCATTGTGTGTAATGGCCACACGATGAGGGCTGTGATGAAAAGAATATTTCCCACCTTGAAAATTCTGTCGGCAGTTCTGTGATTGCCAAAGGATAAGCAAACACATCTGCTTCAGTGGCGTCATCAAAGATTGAATTATAATGAAAAGTGCAATTTTATAAATTTATGCAATTTTAAGCTTGTTCAGCCTACCTCTGCAAGCTACTTTGCAACCCACCTTCCCCTCAGGTTCCAGTCATATCCGATTTAATCAGTGTCACACCTGTGGTCACATCCTGCTCTCTCTCTTTCCTGTTTTGATGCATTGTGGACAGGGGTGTCAAAAATAAGGCCCAGGGGCCAGAAATGGCCCAGCAAAGGCTCCAGTCGGGCCAGCTGGACAGCTTTATGAAATATGAAGAAGTGCATAGATTTTGTATTTTTAAAAGATTTACAACTTTTTCCTGTTGATAAAGGACCCCATATTCATACTACACCAAAGTAATAGATTAACAATTAAATGATAAAGTTCCTGTTTTTTTTTAAATTTATTTTTTTATTATTATTTTATTATCTACTACAGAAATCCCTTTCTATACCAGAAGGGGAAATAAAACAATGTAGTACAACAAAATGTTTTTTATAATTACCCGAAAGTCTGGACTGAGAACGTTTCCTGTAACCTGTACCCGTTTATCATGTCGTTCACCATTCTGACCCAGTTCAGATTAATGGCCCACATCGTAAACTGAATACACTGTCCTCTAGTAACAGAGTAAGAGCGTGAACTAATGCTTACACTCTCTTGCTTTCAGGTATTGGGTACCTATTGTGTGGCTCCCTATTGTGTTTTATCTGAGCTGGCACTGCTATACCACCCTGGCACAGGGCACCACCAGACTAGCCCTCACTTCAGGTAACTCACACGCACCTGTGTTTGTGCCGCAGTCACTTGTGTTTTCATTTTCATTCGTGTGTTCACATTTCTGTTTGAGCCATCTATAGCAGAGCATGTGTGTGTTCCCAGGCTTCTCTATCCCTATCCACAAGTACTTTTTCCCAGTCCTCTTTATGATGGGCTGGTTCTTGTGGTCGTTCATCGAGTACTGCATCCATCGCTTCGTCTTTCACATGAATCCACCAGCTCATAACTACTACCTCATCACGCTACACTTCCTCCTGCATGGACAGCACCACAAGGTATGAACAACCACCGCTGAGGTCACAGCTGTGAGTCATGAAAGCAATATTTGTTTTTGTTTAAAATCATCCTTTATGGCACCAGCTGAGGTGGTAATCTTATATTGCAGGGAGGAGGGGGACGCAAAAGTCCTCCTGTTTCCAAATACTTTTATGAACTGAATACATATCAAGTATAAGTAGTTACAGATGTGCAAATATTGTAAGTTAAATTATTGTAACATTAACCACAGTATAGTTTAAGCCACAGGGGGAAGCTGATTTAGCTTAGCTTAATAAAGAGTTAAAATAAACAATGCAGAAGCAGTGTGTGGAAAAATGCTGTTCATCTCAGTTTCTGTTTTACTAGGTTGTAAAATTAGAGTATTTTTTATTAGCTTCTTCTATGTAAAACCTTATAACTGATAGTCGGTGTAATTAGGACATGTGATGTTTTTCCCGTAGAAGCTATAAAGTCGCACTACAAAATCTCACAAACCCCCCGATTCCAAAGATTCTGGGACTATGTATAAGCTGTAAATAAAAAACACAATACAATGATTTTTTCAAATCTTACTAACCCATATTTTATTCACAAAAACAAACATTAGAAAAATATTGTAACATTCAGACTCTAATTTGAGTTTGATGGCAGCAACAAGGTGTTGGGAGAGGCTGAGGAAAATGCTGTGAAAGATATCGCCACTTGCTGATCATTTTTGAATTACTGTCTGATGAATACCTGTGATGGCTTTTTGTTGCAGGGGAAAAAGGACGTAAAATGGTCTAAAATGGCCACCGTATATAAATCTTTTTATTTATTTTCTCTCTCCAGTCTCCGTTTGATGGCTCTCGGCTAGTCTTCCCTCCCGGCCTCGCCTCCTTAGTAGTGGCGGTCTTCTACATGTCCATCCATTGCGTGCTCCCAGACATCCTCGGAGTATGCGTGTTCGTCGGTGGGCTGGGCGGCTACGTCGTATACGATATGATCCACTACTACCTTCACTATGGCTCTCCGAAGAAAGGCTCATATCTGTACAGCCTGAAGGCCTACCACGTCAAACACCACTTCGAGCACCAGAGATCAGGTGAGGATTACATTTGCTAACGGCCTTAGAAGAAATATGGTTTTGTTTTGGGGGGGTTTTCTTTCTTTTTCTGATGGGATCTTTATTTTTCTCACCAGGTTTCGGGATCACCACCACATTCTGGGACCACCCCTTCAACACAACCATGCCTGATGAAAAATTCTGACATGGAAACGGCTCCCCCGAAGGGCCACAGGACTTGTCAACCACCCTCTTTTCCCAACTCCTTTAGTTACATCTCTGCAGCCATATAACTTCCACAGACTAGGAGGAACTTCAGGGCCACTGCATCCAGTCCATTAATAATCTGTGTAACACATTAACCAGCACCACAATATTACCTTAAGCTCAGTCATCTGGGTGTGTGTCAACCTGCCTGCACTATTTACTCACTGTGATCATTTCCACTAAGATGTGAGGGCTTTCAGTGCCATTTTTTCCTTCTACTACTACTTCTTCTTTTTTCATTTAAGAAATCTGCCACCTGTGCTTTACCAACACCAACCTATCACCTGATCACCACTCAGAATGTCGCCGCGTACAGCCGGGAGGTGGCCGTGGAGAGAAAAATCTGTTTTGTGATGCATGTGGTCAATTTGAATTAGATTTAATCTTTTAATCTAAAATCATACAGGGGGAAAACTGTGATAAAATTACTAATCTGACAGCACAATGCTCACACAGCTCACCAAAAACGCACACTGTTCAAGAGGTAACAGGAAGTGATGGATGGTAGGTGAATGTTGAAGATGGGTGGAGCGGAGGGGGGTGAGAGATGATTAGAAAGAGTGCATGTGAGAGAGAAAGTGTGACAGAGATTGAGAGAGAGTACGCTAACTATTTAATCTACTGAGGGAAAAGGCTTCTTCCCGCCTTCGCATCATCTACAGCTTACATATTCCTCGTCGCTGTCACAGCTTTTCTCTGCTACGCTGCTATAAACTGTTGCGCTGCTAACAAATCACAAAAGTTCCCTCCACCACATTTGGGCTCGCTTGATTTAAGAAGCAGCCGTGCCTGGAAAAAACCTTCGGTTTCACTTTTTTTTTTTGCTGAGATACGTTTAACTTATTATCACCAAATCTGCAGGAGTGAGTTTATACTGTAGGAGGCTAATTCCATGTACTGTTAATGTGACGTAAAAGCAGAGTTCAGAATGTCTGAAACCCCTGTGGAGATATATTTTTGCAAGTCTGTTGTAATATTTCCATCTTTTATTTTTTTTTCCTTCGTTAATAATTCAACAAAGATGTAAAAATAATATTTTGTATGAAGCTTTGTACAGTAGAGGAGATTCTTTAATCGCACAGTCTTCATTTTGTCAGGTTGACTATATGTTAGAGAGCGAGTGTGGTTGCCAGGGTGACGGGGGACAAATCTGAAGGCATGAAGCCAGTCTGTCTGATTTCCTGCTGTGGGGATCTTGGGGTCAAAGTTCACAGATTTTTGGAAGTGTTATTTTCTAAAAGTAATCTTGACATAGAGATTCCTTCCTTTTAAAGGGGACCTATAATGCAACTTCTAACACCATGTTTCAAGTGTAGCTTGGCATGACTCACACTTCAAACTAATGCTTATTTACATTATACTAACAAACCATCTTAGCTCTCTTATCCCCTCCTCTTAAAGTCAACTTTCTTCTGATTGGATGCCTCTCAGAGCTTTGTGCCTTAGTTGACTATATATAAGGGATATCTGCTCTCTATGACATCATACAGAGCCAGGAGTAAAGGAAAGCTATCTGAAACTTGAATGTTTAGGTAGTTTGAAGCCTGAGCTTCTGTCTCATGGATCACTTGCACATGGGTATGAACTGTAACGGCACAAATATTACAGAAAATTAGGAAAAGCATAATAGGACGACTTTAAAGTCGTGGTTTATTTTGGCCCTGCAGACCCCTCCCTAGGATGACGATAAAGCAACAAATCTGACTTTACAGCAGGAAGTCTTGACACTGACTGGTGGATCCGCAAAACGTCTCCTGAAAAAACGCCCGACAACGCCGATAAGTGAAGTAGAACAAACTTAATTCACACTCTTTACATGAATAACTGAAGCACAGTAAGAACATACTGCTGCTGCAGGAAATGTATTTTTTATCTACTTTTCTAGCATGAATAAATACTTCCACTTGTAGAAGTGTACATACAGCTGTATGTAATCTAATCCATCTGAGTTTTCACCATTCAAGAAGATTTGTAATGCAGAACCTTAACACCATTTATACTCCTCTTTTTAAAAAAAAAAAATTGTTTCATTTATTTTTATACAAATTCTCTGCAGCAATAACAGTGAAGTGTAAACCTAAAGAGGGCTGAGGGACCCCCAAATGTTTCCACTATGACGAGATGAGTGGATTTATTAACTGATTTAGCACCAAAATGTGTCATTGTCTACAAATATCTGTTGATCTTTAGCTGTGATTATGAATGTTCAAGACTTTGTGCAGAAAGCATTAACTCATCAAAAAGAACCTAAAGAATGTTTTTAATGTCTGTTATGCTGATGGTTCTAATAAGTTCTAATAATAATGATAAGACATGATTGTGCCGGCTGCTTGGCAAAGTGAAATGATTCCACTTGTTGGAGTTAAATTAAAAAAAAATAAAAATACAGATCTTATTTATGTATATTTATATGATAAGAATGAAAAACGGTAAATATGATTCTAACTTGTGAAATTTTTCTCTTGTGCTAAATTTTGCAGCAAAAAAAAAAAAAAAAATCCTAAATTTGTTTACTTTAATGTCTTAACTTGTGTTTTGGAATTTTTAAGTCCATGCAAATGCAAACGTATTTGTAAATAAATATCTGTATATTTCTGATGTTGGCCTGTCCAGTTTTTTATTTTTATGATGATGGATGATGACTTTAAATTGCATTGTAAGAGATGAAGGGTGGAGTATTTAATCTTATATTTTAAAAACGGAGGTGTTGCTTTTGCCTCTGAATGTAGAGATGGTTTTTTTTGGGGTCGGGGTTCAAAAGACTTTCAATGTGGCGTGGTTGTTCATGTCAGCGGTCACAGTAAAATATCTGGATCCCTTTGAGTTACTGTTGCTTTTCTCTTAGCTCAAAGTCCTTACAGGCAAGGTTTGCAGGCGAGCATCTCCGAATGCACAACACACCAACCCTGAAGCAGAACAGCACGCAGTCTTCTTTCTGTTCCTCCGGTCAGCTGTGAACAGGAAACTCTGGTTGTAATTCAGAGGCTCACTAAAGCTGTACACCAAAAGGGTGAAAAAACTTTGCGCTGTGTGATGAGTCACGATTTCTATTGCAACACTTCCGGACACAAATTCGGACAGAATGTGGCATTAACAACATGAAAAAACGGATCCTTTCTGCCTTAATCAAAGTTTTAGGGTGGTGGTGTAGTAATGTTTTATTGGTACACTTTGGGGCCTTTAGTGCTGACTGAACATTATTTAATCATCTGGTTTAATCATTAAGCAACTACTTTTCTGAACACAATAAGCAGTTCACTGCACTCAAATGGCCTCGACAGTCAACACACGTCAATCAAACGGAGCACCTTAAAGACATGGTGGAACAGGAGGTTCACATTAGGGGTGTGCAACCAACAAATCTGCAGCGACCGTGTGATCATCATGCCTTAGTTGTTATATGCCAGGAAGACTGAAGAAAAAGGCGTCCAATCTAAAACTGTCAGTGTGTACCTAATAAAATGACTGTGTATTCACTGCATGTGTGGATTAATTTGAACAAAAGAAGCAGGGTGTGCAGGGTTATTCTTTTTTTTCTGCCCTAATTTATTTATTTATTTTAAAAAGGTGTTATATGAAAGAAAACAGATACTCGACAGCAGCTCACAGTTCATGCTGGTGTCCTGTGGTACATCTCAGGTACATGTGCACTCTAAACAGGTTGCCCATCTGTCACAAGGACATCCACGCCAATATAAGCCATAATTATTAACACCTACGGACAGTTTGCACCATGTTATAACCTAATAACAATCTAATTCGAGTAGCACCGTTGTGCGTAAGCAGCTCTTTATTGTTTGTTTGATCAGTGGAGATCATATTAACTAATCTTTGCAACTCTGTAGCTATTGGTTACCGATTAATCTGCTGATAATCTCTTCCCTGTTTTACAAGAACACCATTAGTAAAATGCAGGTAGCCCCAGTCAACCGCTGCAATCGGAATATTTCACAGAATACAATTTCCATTTGAAGGATGAGAGAGTAGCTTTTGACCTCAAAATGAAGCCTTCAGTCTTAATGTTTCCTTAGTTAGACTTTCACTTTCACCTCATTGATCTGGGGTCTTGATTAAAGGCTGGTTTGCCAACTTAGATCACTTAATCTCTGTTTTTCCTTCCACAGAGTCTTTTAATCTGTCTCCCTCTTCTCGCCCACAAGTGGCAGCAGGTGTCTCGCCCTCCCTGAGCCTGGTTCTGGGAGGTTTCTTCCTGTTAAGAATGACATTTTCCTTCCCACTTACCCCAATGCTAAAGTGATTGTTGGGGTTCTCTGTATCATTGCAGGGTCTTTACCTTGCAATATAAAGCACCTGGAGGTGACTGCTGTTGTTGTGATTTGGCGCTATTCTGAATTGAATTGACTGATCCAGGTTGAGAGAATCTGATTGGCTCCAAATTTGCATTAAAACCTTACCCACGCATGCTCTGTGTCTTCAATGTTATGGTTCTGGTGTTGTAGGAGGACAACAACAAAACCTTTGTGTCAGCAGCCTACTGTGTACACTTCTGTGTGCCTCGTGTTTCTGTTGCATAAGATCCTGTTTCTGTTTCACAGATTTACTCACACATTTCTTTTTCAACACTTTATTCTTTGGAATATTCAAAGCCAGCGCTATAGGTTAGCTTCAACTCCCAAACCGTCTGAACATCTGTAGGTTTGTCTGTTTTTAACACAGCGGCTGAGGTGCAGTAGGACCCTGGGGTGCGGCTGCAGCAGTGTAACAGTGAGCAGACAGGAGGGA